CTTTTCCAGACTTTTTTCGCCGCCCTTTAACATGTCTGATTGTTACAGCGGCCTGTAACATGTCTGACTGTTACAGCGGCCTGTAACAGTCAGACATGTTACAGCGGCCTGGTTCATATTTACACACTACAAAACCCTTCAGACACTGAAGTATTCTCTTAGAAACTCATGGACTTCAGACTGTTTCAACTGTCAGACTGTTTCAACAGTCAGACTGTTGAAACAGTCTGACTGTTGAAACAGTCTGAGTGTTTCAGTGTTTCAGAGTTTGCATTTCACGATCCCTCCGTTCTCTCACTTCACAGATTCAGTAGAAAACACGTTTCCAAGAAGGAGAAGGAAAAAAAGACAAATTTACTCTCCCCACACAAAGCCCCACTCGCTGTGCGATTAGCACTTTCATTTCTCACTCGGCGGTTGGGTAATGACGCTGCCCGAGTTATAAAGAGATTGATTAATTGGACTTGAAGCAGCGTATGTTCAGAAGGACCCAGTCGGGACACCAGGTGTGGGGATTTGACACATTCATCTTATCTCGGTAGGAAATCAAATCCCACTGAGCTCCAGAGTCAGTCTGACAGGTAGCTTAGCTGAGAAAACACCATCACCGTTATTAACCCTTTAACAGACGCGGCCGTCGACACATCTGTCTCCGTCTCCGTCACTGAAGACACAGATCTGGCGGTTAGGTTCACGTCAACAAACGGCGATTTGTCTTCCCTGAGTGAAATGTTCTGTCCGACCACTTGGTGCCGCTAACACGTTCCCTTTCAACGTCCGTGTAGGAAAGATGGCGCTCAGTTCCGCAGGGCCGTTGTCTGTCTCTGTTGGCCAGCGGTGAGGGGCAGTAACTCTTCAGTGAACGAGTCCCCGAGCTGTGGCCGAGCTGTGGCCGAGCTGTGGCCGAGCTGTGGCCGAGCTGTGGCTCAGCGGGGACTTCACTGCTGGTGAGACTGAAGAACTGGAGTCAGTTGAGCCTGACCTTCCTCCACGTCTTGGAGAGCCAAGTGCAGCAGTGTAACGGCGAGGCTAATGGGGCAATTATTGAACTCTTTTAAAGCCTCTCGCCACAGTGGTCTGTGTGAATGGCTCTGCTCAGCCAATCAGACGTCACCAAACGCAGTTTATTGGAATACATGATGAGGCGCTGATTTGATTTATGAAGGATCTGGTTTTAAAGTGTTTTTCTGAGTCATGAGGAAACGTTGTTTAATTATGCACAGCATG